AAACTATTTCTTTAATGTAAATTCACAATGCTACGCTATAACATTTAAACTCTATGAATAACTCTTAATTATGTAAAGACTATAATTCAATACTACTAATCATTATTCAGAAAAGTAAAATTTTTAACTTATTAACTCTTTGACTAAATTTATGTTATTTTTGAAACTGGATTTTCGGTTTAGAATAAAATTGCATTTAACAGATATTTTGAAGTTAGTCAAATTTAGATGTAATCATATTATGAGAGACTTTGAATCAGTAGGTCAGTACTCAATAGATTTTAAAATTTGTTAAATATTATTGATCTTTTTTGTGAGAAATATGTATCCCGATAGCCTAAGTGTTATATGCAAGTTATTTTATGTATCTAAACAAATTGACTTAAAAACCATATTTAACACCTTCCTTCTCGCTCCCGCTAAAATGACGGGGTGAGGTTTCGCCCTCTATTTCTCGCTCCCGTGATATTTCCGGGCTGCAGTGTTGAGTAGTAACGCTCCAATAAGAATAAAACTAATTCATTTCTTTTGCCCGGAAAACATTATATTTCTCTTTTTACACACCAGATAGTAGTATCAGGATATTTTTATGGTAATTGTAGATTGTTAGTTTACTTTAAACTAGATGCCAGCACTAATCAAATGCGTGCATTTGTGATTGGATAAGAAAAATAGGCACTTTTATGACCGTTTTCTTGAAAATTACCCGATCGTTAAGGGGTTAATAACTACTTTATGCTAATCTGCAAGAATTGAAAATTTAAAAAAATTATAAATTTCAATTTATTTCAACATTTATCTAACAATAAAAGACAGACTGCTTCTGAATCCTATTTACCTAATATAACTTTAAATTTTTTCTCAATTAGTGAAATTTTCATTACAAATATTAATACCAATGGTAATTTTAGAAATTAATTTGGTTTTCACCACTTGTCTTTTTTTAAAACAAGAAAAAAAAACATTTAGTAATAGAATTACAAGAGCTAATTTCTTAACCCAAATTTATTTAAGTAAATCCAAAGAGGAATAGCTATCAAAATATGAAAATAATTCTGTTAAAAATTTTCAAGTTTCATTTTTTAAAAATGCGCTTGAAAATGCTCATTTAATTTTTCCATGATTTTGAGTTCAGAATGTTAAAAAAAAACTTCCGAGTTGCTTTTCTTTTTAAAAAATTTTATGTTATTATTCAACATTAAGAGTTAAAATTCACCATTATAAATTCTTAAGATTATTTCTATTTTATAAATTTACAATTGGTAACTATATTATCCAAGATTTGTTTTAAGTACTCATACTTAACAGCACTTATTTATGGAAATTAGTAGTATGCTCTTTGTAAGTGTGAATACAATACATAAATTTTGCATACATGTTATAAGGTAATTTAAAATTTGATCACAGTATTTGAAAGTTTTTGATACACATATGAAACAAGCCATCAACTAAATACAATTCATTTAATATAACCCAATAAATAGACCTATAAATCCTAATTAATAAAAACTAATTGCATATCTGCAATTATTTTTTATTAATTAGGATTTAAAAATGTAAGTAATTATTTGAATCAATTATAAGCACTCTTACCTAACAATAAAAGACAGTCTATTCAACTTCAGAAACAGGCAATAATTGTATCCTGGTCTTCAATCACTCCTGGATGTTTTAAAACAAGCCAACAAATTTCTGCTAGTGTATGGCAATTTTTAATTACACCATCACAAAAGCATAAATTACCAAGCTTGTATGCAATTTAACTTCCTAAATTCTTTGAAGTTTACATCCATAAACAGCAGTTATGTCTGCAAAAAAATAAGTTCACAAAAACAATTCACTGGCAAAAAATTTTAATAGTTAATCCAATTTCTTTTTTTTAAAAAAAGAAAAAAGCACAGAAAGTTGCTTTTAAAAATATTTCTTTATCAGTACTTGATCCTGCCAACAACGATCGCCAAAAAGCCTAAGGGTATAACTACATCTTCCAATCTAATTGTTTTGTAATATATATCAACGAAATTATCTTTACATAACTGAAATTCTTTTTACTTATCAGATACTTTAACTACATACATACATATGCATAGATTAAGATAATTCACATAAAATATATGTTTTTTTTTTTCATTAGGTGAATTCAATTAACTCAATAGGAAAAAAAAAGCTCAATGCCTACATAAATATTTGATAGACAAATATACTTATAAGATATGTTTATTTAGACATAAAACAGAGAAATTTGTCATATTTTTCAAAGTTCTTGCACATAATTTTTAAATTAATTTTATAAAACCTGATGTCAAAATAATTCATGTATTCAAGTTCAACTAAATTAATTACAATTATAAAAAATTTTAACACTAACTCTGCAGTCAAAATTATTTTTTAAAAAAATTTACAATCGAAAATTTTTTAACACAAAGCAAATATTTTTTGGGAGATTTCCATATCGTGATCTGTGGCAGAATGATTGCCAATTCTTGGCGACTTCTGGGCAGCGACCCACGAGAAAAAAAACATCACAGAAAGGGAGCAACTCTAAAGGTATAACTCATAGCCACCCCCGCATACGACATGTTTTTTTTTTAACAAAAATTTGCAAGTTTTAAACTATTTGGCACCTTAGTAATTGTAGTTGGCATGACAGATCATTATACGGAAATAACCCCATATTTTTAATGAACATATAAGTTTAAAAAATCAGTAACTGTATTTCTAAAATTGTTTAACATGTTTTATGATAGGATTTTAATAAATATATTTTTATACAAAACCAACTTTTCTACAAAAATAAACAGTAAAAAAAAACAATGAAAAAAGTTATTTTTAGTTCAAAGGGTAAAAATTTATTGCATTTTGTAGTATTAAATATCAGCAACAGTTAAATGTAAAAAGATATAGAGTTAAAAAGTTATTAACAATTAAAATGGATAACACTTATTATAAACCAAGAATCAATGGGATTAAAATTTTATGAACCTAAGAACTCAAATAGATCATCAGTAAGCATATCAATAAAAAATAAGCATAATTTATAAGTGCACATTAACAAGATAACAAAATGTGTATTGATACAATTTTAACTAAATTTCGTAAAATTATTCTCTTTGTTACCAAATAAATGACTTTCCGTATGAAACGTGTACTTTTAAGAAAAAATTATATTTGATAATAGCTTTAGTTCAAAACATAACGCAAACAACTTTTGACCAAGATATAAAAAATAATCAAATAAACTTTACATACAAGAGAAGAGTTTAATATGCACACATAAAGCCAAAAAACTCATACGTTTTATTTCAGTTCAGCAGGAAAAAGAAAATTATGCATACTTTTTTGTTTGCAGAAATAAGAGTAAAAATAAGGTGTTAGGTTAAGTCGGACGAACTACCAGTCTTAAGACCGATTTGTCATTTTCGACGTGTTTCAGTTGAATTGAAACTTACGAGATTTCTCATCATGCATTGCGAAAGTTAAGATTTCCCCAGTCTTACGACAGTCAATGTTGCAGTTGAATTGCACCCCATAGTGAGTATAGGCAAAGCCTCTCTAGGAGGCTTTGTAAGTATGTACATAAGTATTATTGTTTGATCTTCAATATTACATGCAAGATTAGTAAAAACAGCATGACATTATAACCTCATGTTTACAGAGCCGGATTATACCTTTCGTAGGCCCTAGGCACAGCCGTTTTCGGGGCCCTTCCCTCCTTCCTCCACTCCTCCCCTCTTTTCAAAATATATGCTAAAATTTTCTGGCATATTTTTTTTAACATTTTTATTAATATGGATTTTAATTTACAAATTTGTTTATCGAACTTTATCTGCAATACCGACATACTGCCGATATTGTAGTTGATATCGATAATACGTACCATTATAATTAGTTCGATCGATAACTATGTAAAGGTAAGCACTTCACGTCAACAATACAACAACAAACCAGCAAAGAAAACAGTGAAATTGATAGTGAGATTAATTACAAGAAATATTTATACTACAAATAGCTTCATAGTTTTCATGATACTACTATGATAACTTAAGTGAAGGAAATTAACATTGTCAAAAGTAAATCTTTTGAAATTATTTATAAATAAATTTGCAAAGTAGGTTAAATGTTTACTAATAGAAAAAAAATGATTTAATACTTTTTTAATAAAATGTTAGTCACGTTTTGTCAGGAAATATCAGGAACGTATTACGCCATTTTAGATGTATTAATTTCAGAAATGACTAAAAGGCGTAAAGCTTACAGTGATTTGTACGATAATTTCGGTTTTCTTGTTCACAAAAATTTGTCAGAATCTGAGATTAAACTAAAAGCGCAAAATTTGGTGAAAATTTACTCATCCGATTTAGAGGAAAACTTTGTAGATGAAGATTCTAGGTGGTGATA